ACTTGTTTTCTTTAATGAATGATGGCCTTCTTCCTTTTTCATCTCTCAAACCATAAGTTCTGGTTTCAGTGGAGAAAAGTCAGCATTACCACAGTGTCCTTTTCAGTGAGCTGTGGCCAGGAGTTTTCAGAAAATAACAGAGTGATCCAAGTAACTTCCTTCACTATGTCTTTTTCTGTGGTTTTACTCATTCATGACATAGCATTCTTTTTGGCTCCCCATTAACTTAGCTACACTGTCCCCCTATTTGTTGCTCTCACATGCAAAGTTGGTCCCTGCTTTAGGAGTTGCACTTACTGTTCTTGATGACTGGAGTGGTTTGCTGTAGATTTTGAATAGTTGACTTTTTTGTGTCATTCAAGTCTCAGTTCAAATAGTATATATGAGACTAGCCATACCTACTCATTCCCTCAATTATGTTTTTTTTTCCTTTAGGGGGCATTCATTACCATCTAACTTGGAATATTACCTGGCTCATATTATGTAATGAAACAAATAACATATGTATACATTAATTTCACTAAGATGTTGACCCTGATTTTAGATGACACTAATCACTATAATATATTAGCATAAAAGAAAATAAAGAAGAAGGAAATGAGCATTACAAATATGTGGGACATTATCAAATGGTCTAATATAACTAAAATTATTCTAGAAAGAAGTGATAAAGGATGCAGGAAAGAAAACATAATAACAGAGAACTTTTTAAAACCAATTATAGACAAAACACAGGTTCAAAAAACTCAACTTCATTCATAACATAGGCAAATAATAATATGCCTTTAAATAGAATGAATAACTTGCTGGAAACCAAAGATAAAAGAAAAAGCTTTCATTTGATGAAAGGAAAAAGTACTCTATTTTCAAAAAAGAATAAGAGTTAAGATTGACTTTCATCAGAAAGAATGAAATCCAGAAAACAATGGAATACATCATTAAAATCCATCAAGAATATTCTTGGCCCCCAAAGAAACCTAGAATCCCCAAATCTTCTAAAACATTCTTTAGCAGTAATGCTCAGAATCTTTCTGTACTGGCTAAGTTGGAACATGGCCCACTATAGTCTCTCTTTCCCAGTGATCATAATGAAAAATAGTGAATTGAATGTGTAAAGTGCCACCCGTGGACCTTAAAAAGTAAACAGTAGCAGGAGGGAAGTGGAACCTGAAGAAATGGCAGTCAGGGAGGGGGTTCCTGGTTCTTCTCTCTTTTCTCTCTTGGCTTTGACGGGGGTAACTGTGGTCATGGAACAGAGAGAAGAAACTCCAAAGGCACACCCTGTTTCTAGCCAAAAGATTGGAAAGGAGTTCTTTGAAAGTTATAGAGAGTATGGGGGAAATACACCCTGTTTGTTTTTGCTTTCTTTTTCTTTTTTCTTTTTCTATTCTAGCTCTGTCCTGGGCATGGCCAAAACCATGAAGCTGCACTAAGGTGCAGTGGTGGAGGCATTAAAAACCCCGAGAGCAAAACCTATTTGACGGCCATAAAAACTGT